TATATATATATATATATATCCACTGTAGTTTTTTGAGCATCAAATTAATATTGAATAACAATATAACTGTTTTTTAATAAGCTGCAGCTGCTCCAAAGAGACCCTAAGTTCGATAACTCAATATAGTTATTAATTCTTATTTAATCACAATTAAAAGTAAGAAAAAGGCCCAACGCTGGCAGGGAAATTTGTTTTTTTTTAAAGACAATTTTGCAACTACAGTAAAATAATAAATGTTATGTAAAAAATTTATAATAATTTTAAAAACAAGCTAAACAGAAAAATAATTCAAGGATATTTATATTTTAAAATTTATACTTCTATTGTAAAAATGACTTGATTACAAAAACTTATACCCTTTTTTTTGTAAATTTTATGTAAATTTATAGAAATTAAATGGTATGCTAGTAAATCTTCTTTTCTATTCTATAGAATTGGGAAAAATATCATTCACCTGTGTTATGAGAATATTTCATCTGCGTTATTTGTAAAAATGATGTGTTATTCGAGTATTATACAGTGTTATTCGATTATTTTTCGGTGTTATTAGAATATTTCATCACGTTACTTGATTTGAGGCCGAAGTGTTATTGGAATATTCTCCAGCATTACTTGATTTGGGGCTGTGTTATTCCAATAACATAGTGAAAATTAAAATAACAAGGGGAATATGCCGAATAACATAGCCCCAAATCAAATAAACACTACAAGATAATCAAATAACATCATATAATACTGGAATAACACATAATTTTTACAAATAATGTAGATGAAATATTCTCGTAACATTGCTGATACTCCAAATCGAACGTAGCTATACGTTAGTAATAGTGGAAGATGCTGAAAGTTTATTAGACACGCCTTTGGCAGCTTAAAGCTTGTTATTTTATGGAAATTTTCATACACACCACGAAATTCTTATGTATTTATATATCTAACAATTAAAATTTGATATTTATATTTACGACGCCGTCTTCTCGACCCTCGTCGAAAATGTGTATTTAATTTTAAAAAGATAACGATGATAATATAATTTTGAGGTCATATTCAAAGATTTTAGTGGCATAGATATAAATATGAATCCGAAATTTCTAAGGTGCCAAAAATGTAAATATTTAGGAATTAAATGGTTTTTATGCAAAAATTTCATTTACTAATAGCTTTAATGTGATAACTGCGATATAAATTAATTAATTAAAATAATAATATTTAGATGCAATCTAATTAAATCCGGTCCAAGCCTTAAACACGGGCCGGCGGACCGGGCTCGATGAAGCTTCTATTCAGCTCGGCCGGCCTTCTTCAAATTTATTCGATATTCTAATAATTTATTTAATAATTTGCACGGCAAACATATCCATAGAATTACCCAAAAAAAAGGGACTTTTTTGTAATAATTAACACCATTAATATTATGTGGATAAGACAAAACTCATTCCATTTATTTGTACTTCACTCTCTAATTTACTAATTAGAGTCCATTTCGGGCGATAGTTTTGTCCGTTGGTATATATTACGTTTTGACAGTTTTTTCAAAAAACTGCCAGTGAAATCTGTGTTTTTTCACTACTCCGGTTAGATATGGCGATTGACGACGGCTTTCTAACTGCGGTCTAACTTATTAAAAAAAAAATAATAGTCATCACAACTTTTTGAGCATCAGACTATTATTTAGCAGTTTCAAAGATATTTTTTAATAAGTTGCAGCTGCCCCTAACAAAACCTAATGTCAACCGTGAAATCATTATTAATTTTTCATGCTATTTTTTTTAATGAAAATACTAAATCCATTTAACATTGCTACATTTGTCCTTCAATTATAAATAAAATTAGATATTGAATTGAAATGATAAAATTTTGAAGTTGGCCATTAGAAAATGTCTAATATATCTTAGCATTAAAATGTCTATCATAATTTATAGGAAGTTGGCCATTAGAAAATGAGAAAATACTATAATGGTACGTTTCACGTTCGGATGACGGTTCAAATGGGTCATCACGCAATACATGGTGGTATGGTGCACCGTGGCCACATCCAAGCTATCATCCGAACGTACAATCAGTCTTACGTAATATATTCTCGTAGAATAGGGGCAAAAATTACATAAGAAATTTCTTATATAAATTTATTAGTTTTTTATTTAATTTCCGTACATTTTACATTAAAGGAATATAAGTCTCTTTCAATTAAGATGCACTAATTTAATTATAGATATTGGTGCATATTTAATTTCGTACAAGAATATTTAACAAAATCCTTTCTTTTTCTTTAAGTCAATGTATGACATGGCCGTTACACGTGTGAAACGATTATTATTATTATTATTATTTTAACCATTAATTTTATATTGAAAATTGTATTCATTGTTGTCCATAAACACTAAAAATTAAAGGTGATGAGTAATTTCTAATTATTATTTCAACATAAAACATAAATATCGTCTATAAACACTACACCATACTCATTAAGTAGCCTAAAAATATATCAATAACAATTAATTTGCATTTTATTTACAATTTAATATCTACCATATTAATCCACATGCTTGCTTTTGCTTGAATATATCCAAAATAATTAACTAAAAAAATTAGTTAATAATAACTTAATCCAAATTCACTAACTATAAACTCATCATATTAATTAATCTACATAATACAATAAGAATTTAAACTCTTATGTTAAGCACAACATTTATCCATCTCCAAAAATCATCCAAAATTTAATATAAAAAAAAAATAAAACTCTTAACAACAAAGAACTAAGTATAAAACTATATATATAGTAAAGTGTCAAAATACTCTCAAAAGAGTTTATAGGATTATCGAAATAGTCTCAAACTAATTTAAAATTAAACTCTAATTAATACTCCACCATGAAGAGTAATATTCCAGCCTCAATTTGCCAAGTCCAAGACTATTTTAACACTTCTAAATTAAAAAAACTTCACGTAAATAATCAGAGACTATTTTAACACTCTGCTCTAATATTTTAACAACAACATGAGTAATTAGAAAAAAAAATAGGCTTTGTTATTATAATAATAATTTTAAAAACATATTCCATATATATATA